CCCTGAGGCTGGGAGCACAGGATGTACCAGCCAAGATAGGCACGAACGGCATCCATCTGGGGCTGGCGAAGCAGGCCTGCAAAAACAAACACCATGACGTGCAAAGAATGTGGATAGCAGCAAAGGGGAGGGTGAGCACAGATGGTGTGAGGAGTTGGGACAAACAACAGGGCAGACTGCTTGAGGGTTTAGGCCAGGACAAGCAATAGGGAATGGAGGGTTCATACCTGCATGACGGCCCTGTGCTCATAGGCCGCCACACATGCTCCGGTCTTGAAGTAGGCGCTCTCCGGCAGGCGCATGTGATTCAGGCGCGTGCGGTTGCGAATGAGAGACAGGCGCCTGCCCATACACATCAGTTCAGCGGTGGCAAAAGGGCAGAAACATGTCATTAATAGGACAGAACTTATGGTTTGAGTAAATGTGACGAAGAGCAACGAATCCAATCCCCAAAACACTGACCTGTCCATCTGCTTTACACGCCGCTTCTTCATATTGCACACGACAGCCACAATGTCGCTCATGATGCCCAGGTCCGCCTAGTGCATGATGTCAGGCATCACCACGAGGTAGGGATTGCCCCACGCGGTCCCTGGGACATCCCACTTCTAGAGCACGCACTGGAAATGGGGATGTGGTGGGGAATGGAGGAGAGATGTACGTGAGAGTGGATAACTAACCTAAACCACAAGTGGGGTGAGTTCAATGGGGTAGAGCACATCTGGCAATTCATGACGGGGCGGGCGAGAGCGTAGACTACTCATGGGCCGGGGAAACATGTCACTCACCTCAACAGGGTAGGTAGAGTAGGCCTTGCACGGGTTAGCCTAGCTAGTTGTCGTCTCAGCCGCCTCGTTAACGATCCATTGCTACTGTTCAGGCATGCGCGGCGTGTTCCGTGCCTTGACAGCACTCGGATGCTCCTGTTGTTGCACGGGGGTGAGGGATGGGATAGAAAAGGTAAGGGTGGTAGCTATGTGGGTTCTATCAGGCGACCCACAAACGAGAATATATTTGAATGCGTGCAGATGGCATGTGACCTCACCTTTGCAGCATAGCAGATGCTGCACGGCATCCGCGATCCATGCAAGAGTGTGCAACTGATCTTGCCGCTCTCGGGGTAGTCGCACACCCAGGCGTACAGCAGGGGCCGCACGGTTTGCCAATCACCGAAAGGGTCCCTGAGACGGAACCCGCTGCAAGGAACAGGTAGAGGGGCAACAAGAATTCGGGTTACGGCTTTTAGGGAGGAACGACGAGGGGCAAAGGGCAATGCTACATACAGAGAGGGTTTGCATACCATGCAGGTGGTGAGATGATGTCTTAGCAAGATGCAAACCGAGTACGGACCTGGCGATGCCATCAAGAAGCGGCTGCAGCACGGTGATGACGCAACGCTGGAAGAGCATCACGTTCTCCACGGCAGACATTGCAGACGGGGGGATAGGAAGGAGGGCAAGTAGTGTGTGCTCGGCTTTCCCCCATCGCTTGGCCTGGGAGATGTTGGCCAGCGTCATCATGAGCGGCCACGCCTTCTTCCGGCCGTTGATGCTCATGTGCGTCACATCCGAATATAAAATGATCCCCCCCACAACTTTGGACCAACCGAAGTGTTCCTGCAGTGCACGACAAAGCGGCAACGGACACACGATTTAGGGCTCAAGATGCTCTTGACAGATCAGTGCAGCGATGGAGGCATGAGGAAGGATTGGGTTTGGGGTGGCAACGTGGTCTTTCCTTACCTGAGCATCGTTCCACCACGTTCCTGTTTCAGGCGTGGTATAGCGACGGCCGCCTGCGTCAGGGTCCTCATCAATACGCGCCTTGAGCTTGAAGCCGGGCGCGTTGTTGGGATGTCCAAAAATTTCAGCGAATGCCTGGTGTACGGTGGCGAAGGCAGGTGAGAGGAGAGGCATGGTTAGTGGCGGTGAAGGTGGGTGTACGGTTAATACAAGGATAACTACGTACATGCAAACCCTGTGTGCCTCATCATCATTTTACGGGCTTGAATGCAGAGTCGGCTTACCTGTGCTGAGTTCTGAAAGAGCAAGCGCTGTGGTGGATGACCGTGAATCTCGAAGGTCGCCACCGACCATCCGCGATTGAGCCTGCCAAACGCTCCATCTTGAACCGCTCCAGATCCTTACAGTTCCGGAGCTCCGAGATCACAAGAGGCGCAAGGCCGGGCTCTACGACTAGCTGAAGCAGGCCGTTGATGTCAACCTCGCCCATTCCCATTCCGCCATTCACACGCCGAACGAAGTGCAGCAGCTTCAACGCGAGCGGATTGAGGGGCGTGGCATTGCTCTGTCCGGAGATGATTGTTGGCGGCGCGGCATCACCCCCTTCGGGCCGGCTCTTAGGATGGTCACTCGTGTCAGCCGCAGGAGCTCCTGGTTGTGGTTGATGTTTATCTTTAGGAGGCCCCTCGTTCACGTCGTTGGGAGTTTCGTCAACGTGAGCTTCAGGCACGCGTAAAGGACCGCTCACACTGACGGCGTTGGATGCGTTAGACGCTGTAGGTGAAACGGGAGCGGCTGGAGCGTCCGACAGAATGTCGTGGACGAATAGCAGAGCATGAAGCCCGGCGGTTGGTGCAGATCGCGTCGGCCTTGCCACGGCGGATAGTCCTTGGCAAGGGGTCCGCCGTGACTTATGACCGCCATAAACTTGGGCGTTACGGAACCATCTGTTGCAGAACTCGCAGATGACGCCTGGTAAAGAGCCCATGTGTTACGGATCCGTTGTAGAGTCGAGAAATCGCCTATGAAGCTACTAGCCGTGATGAAGCTTGTGAACGCATTAAGTACTCCGTTCAAGAAGCTTGTGACAGCTACACGATCATCGCCAATGCGCGCACTGTGGTGGGCGGCTTGTATCACTGCACGACTGGCACTTGACATTGGCGCTAATGTTTGGGACAGGCTAACGATGTCGAGCCGCGTGGTCATTACCAGGCACGATACAGACCGCCCACCTCATGGGCCGTCTTCCCTACAAGGTGTGTCGCCCCCGTTTAGAGTGACCACGACGTGAGCAGAGGAGAATGCGGAGGATCTTAAGTCTTACGGTCGTGTGTGTGCGTCGCGAGCACGGTGAGAAGGACGTGCCTATTGAATCAAGAACTTGTGTTTAGGAACCGTGCGTGAGAGTCGAGGGGGATGAGGAAGAGCAGGAAGAGATCCTTTTGGATCTGTGATTGTGTCGCGAATCGATATAGGGGGGAAATCAGAATCACGTAGGTGAGCTCAAGAGGCTTCGAACAAACATGGAAATGCAAATGTACAATTACAACTTGACAAGACACTCAAGTTATTCATAACTAGTAAACATTCATATCGTTAGGACAACCCTTACTTGATAACGGTACGGGAAGAACCCAATAACTCCATGCCCTAACGTATGATTGTTGCGTGGAGCGAATACATATAGCGTGTCTTCTCTCGAGGTGTAGTATACCTATACGCACCGTGCTGAATGAATATGCAAGAATGGATGACAACGTCGTACAATAACACAACGGTTTCAATGTCCATGCAATGTTGGATGACAATGCAACACCATACCACAACGGATTCACCATGACGTGCAAAACCGCAGGCCTGAACGCTGCATAATCGCACAGTCTAACCATGGCTGTCGATAACGCATCTACGCTTGTGCGTTGGGCCTGTGCTTCATACAACTCATCCTAAGCACCTTGTTTAACGTCTGTGCAAGAATGGATGCCAATGCAACACCATACTACAATGGATTCACCATGTCGCGCAACCCACAGGCCTAAACGCTGCATCGGCGCACAGTCTAACCATGGCTATCGATAGCGCATCTACGCTTGTCCGTTGGGCTTGTGCTTCATACAACTCCTTCTAAGCACCTTGTTTAATGTCTGTGCAAGAATGGATGCCAATGCAACACCATACAACAACGGATTCACCATGTCGCGCAACCCGCAGGCCTGAACGCTGCATCGTCGCACAGTCTGACCATGGCTGTCGATAATGCATCTACGCTTGTGCGTTGGGCATGTGCTTCATACAAATCCTTCTAAGCACCTTGTTTAATGTCTGTGCAAGAATGGATGCCAATGCAACACCATACCACAACGGATTCACCATGTCGCGCAACCCGCAGGCCTGAACGCTGCATCGTCGCACAGTCTAACCATGGCTGTCGATAACGCATCTACGCTTGTGCGTTGGGCCTGTGCTTCATACAAATCCTTCTAAGCACCTTGTTTAATGTCTGTGCAAGAATGGATGCCAATGCAACACCATACCACAACGGATTCACCATGTCGCGCAACCCACAGGCCTGAACGCTGCATCGTCGCACAGTCTAACCATGGCTGCCGATAACGCATCTACGCTTGTGCGTTGGGCCTGTGCTTCATACAACTCCTTATAAGCACCTTGTTTAATGTCTGTGCAAGAATGGATGCCAATGCAACACCATACCACAACGGATTCACGTTTGTTACTATTGATAATCGTGTTAGAATGTCGTCCGCTGTCACAAAGCCTAAACCATTGTGGCAAAGCCTAAAAGTGCATCTGTCACAAGTAATAGTTATGGATGGTTGTTGTATGTGTGACGTAAGAATCACCGATTAACTTACCCCAACCCCGTGGTAAACCATTTGCAACTTAGAGTTTGATGAAATGCATTGTTGTATGTTTGAATAAATTTTAGTGATTTATGCGTTGGCAACCGTGATTGGCCGACGCATCTCAAACGATCCCCCCCGCAACACAGTCATCAGCCAAGAGGTACTTCAGCAGTTGAGCGGCTAAGATCGAGCGGTAGGTGGGTTTATGCTAGGGTGGCTACAAGTACACCGTCCAATATAGCCTGATAGGGTTACATTACTCTCTCTAGTCTCGCAACCCACCCCAACCACACCCTCGTGTCCCACCCACCTGCTTTCGTCACCCCCTGGACCAAAACTTTAATGCTGCTCGTTGCCTTGACACATTATAGCGCGAAGCATAGTGGCTAATATGACAGATTTAGTTGAAGCGGCGGTTTTCGAAACCCCTTACAGTGATAGACCGTTGATAATCTCATCGTGGGATTCAGTTACAGAACCCTTTCGAAACCGGCTCAACCCTTCCGCGCGATTTGCAACTTTAATCCTCCTACAATTACCATGACACGTGCAACACGTAACCAAGCAATGGAGGAGGAACAGGCCGGCCGCCGCGCGACAAGGAGGACGTCTAAACAGACCGATAGGGAGTGTGGTGGCGGCGCTAAAAAACTAATGCGTCCGTCGCTCGTGGCATTGGGAACAAAAAAGCGGCGGCAAAAAAGGTCACACGCGATCAACAGGAGGCCGGCAAGAAAGCGGAAGACAAGGGCCCTAAACCAACGCCACACAAGCGTGTTTCTATAGTGAACAAAGATGCGGATGTTGCCTCTGCTGGAACCGAGCCCGGTCCGAGTAAAGACGGCACCACTCGCGGCAACGAAGATCCGGGGCGAGGGAGCGCGAGTCTTGCACTCCCGTCGGCGGAGATGGAGGGATCGGCGATGGAGGGAAATCACGGAGGCGATCCCCGCGCCGAGCATGCCACAACCAAGGAGTCCGAGGCGGCGGCAACGCAACACCATCTGACGCTGCTCCAGTCGACCGTGGTCGAAGTTTGTGCAGCCGTGCTGGATAAGGACAAGGTGGGGGAGCACGAGTCGGTGGGGCTGGTCGGTGGCTCTCCACCTTCTGGTGGATGGGGGAGGCGTAGGCAGAGGAAGAGCGATGGGGAGGACGATTATGACACCGCCGTGCCCGGGGACCTCATTACGCGGGCGAAGAGGCGGCAGACGACAGGTAGTGCTGACGACGCCGGAGGCGCGGCAGTTGGGACACCGCGAGGCGCCAAGGAAGCTAGTGGCAAGGCGGGCGGTCAAGCATTGCGCCAGAAGGGCCGACCCGCAGCAAGAAAATCATCCGGCGGAAGGAGAGGCAAGAAAACAGCGACGGGAACAAAGCCGAAACGGGGCGATGAAGACCCCGGTGATGCGGATGAGGAGGAGGATGCAGAGGGAGAGGAGGATGAAGAGGAAGCGGAGGAGGATGAAAAATATGAGAATGATGGCGGGGAGGACGAAGAGGAGGAGGAGGAGGAGGAGGAGGAGGAGGAGGAGGAGGAGGAGGAGGAGGAGGCAGAGGAGGAGGAGGAGGAGGAGGAGGAGGAGGAGGAGGAGGAGGAGGAGCAGGGTGACGACGAGGAGGAGGAGTAGGAGGAGGAGGAGGAGGAGGAGGAGGAGGAGGAGGAGGAGGAGGAGGAGGAGCAGGGTGACGACGAGGAGGAGGAGTAGGAGGAGGAGGAGGAGGAGGAGGAGGAGGAGGAGGAGGAGGAGGAGGAGGAGGAGGAGGAGGAGGAGGAGGAGGAGGAGGAGGATGTGGCGCCAGTGAAGGGACGGGGCGGGCGTGGCAGACGGGTGAGTGGTACAGGGAAGGAGGGGGGCCGGACACGCCCTTCCCGAAAACGCGGGGCAGTTGACGCTGCGTGCGGCGAAGCATCGGGCAAACCGAAGGCGCGTAAGGTGAAGGTCGAAAGTGAAGGGGTTGGTAAAAAGCAAGGGAGCCAGGGAGCAAAAGGGGATGGAGGAGGAAAGGGTGGCCGCGCCAAAGGGGTTCCAGTGGGTACCAGCAAGAAAGAACCTGCGTCGCAGCGTCTGCCAAAGCACCCCACGGAAAGGTGGCAACGAGAAGGCGCAGGCTGCCCCAAAACCGAAGGGACAGCAGAAAGGTGAGCATTGTGTCCAATAAAACTGACGTGACGTGTTGAACCATCTGCCAAATCGTGCCAAAAAACACCCTTGTTTCACATTGTTTCTCCCATGCAGGGAAGGAGAAGGTCGACGAATCTGCCAAGCAAGGTAAACCCTCTTGTCTCAAACCAGTACAACCCTGAACCCGATCTTGATTCAAACCTTTCTGAATATGCATGCATGTCTGGCCCCGCCTTGAAACCGATCGACTCTAATTTTTTTTTCCGGCTCCCTCTACATCTCAGCCCCTCGCGTTACAGGCATTGGACCGCTCGTAAGCGTGCAACGAATGCTTCTAACGAAGGCTGCCGGAAGAGCGAGTGTTACACCGCTCTCCTCCAGAGCACCAAGGTACTACACGCCATGGGCCAGCCCGAGCATAGTTGCTGCGACGGCACCAGGCGCGCCAAGAGGAGAGGAATCCGAATCCCCTCCACCCGCCCCCGTCACGCAGTCCCCACTCGCCTCACCCTCGTACCAATTTCAGCAACTCCACGCTTCTCCTGTCCGGGGCAGGGCGGTCTCCCCTCTCGCCGATCCTTCGCGCGGGCATCAGGCAGGCAGTTATGCCAATCCCTTCCCTGAGCTCCCTTTTTCCCGCCTGCGTGATAGTGTGAGGGCACACGGCACTGCTGCAGAAGACGTTGATCCCCTTGGCCAGAGGGGGGATTCTTCACACCCTTTTCCTCCACTCATGGGTGCCCTAGGTGAAAGTGCGGAGCACGAGCATTTTGTTAGACGGGAGGAGTTCCAGGCGCTGCGGTCTAAGATGTACGCCATGTTTGCACAGCTCGGCCTGCGTCGTGGAGTACCTGCCAGCTATGCCGGCGGGTCGGCAGCCCTGCCTATGGCTGGTACCCCGCCGCCGATGAGCGCCATGGACAAGGCACAAGTGCTAGTGTTGCAGGAGAAAAACCCATTCCCGGTATGTGGCGGGCCACATGGGGAGGGTTGGGGTTGACGTGGCAAAAAGGGCAGGGTTGGGGCTGACGTGGCGGTTTCGAAGGGAACACGGGAGCGGCGCGTGACGAGGCGACGCGTATCAGGTGGGTGGGGGGTGACGTGGCATGGGGTGGGTGGGTGTGACGTGGCAAGTGGCGCGGGTTGTTGGTGGACGTGGCGGATGCGGGTTGGGTGTGACGTGGCAAAAGGTGAGGGTTGGGATATGACGTGGCGGTGTGAAAGGGTGCAAGGGAGTGCCGCATGACGGCGCGAGGCATTTCAGGTGGGTGGGGGGTGACGAGGCTCTTGGTGGGGGGTGTGACGTGGCAAGTAGGGCGGGTTGTTGGCGGATGCAAAAGGGTATGACGTGGCAGAATGTGAGGGTTGGGGCTGATGTGGCGGTTTGGAATGGTACACAGGAGCGGCGCGTGACGAGGCGACGCGTGTCAGGTGGGTGGGGGGTGACGTGGCATGGGGTGGGAGGGTGTGACGTGGCACGTGGGGCTGGTTGTTGGTGGACGTGGCGGATGCAGGAGGGTGTGACGTGGCACATGGGGCTGGTTGGTGGACGTGGCGGACAAGGAGGGTGTGACGTGGCGGAAGGTGAGGGTGGGGGATGACGTGACAGATGCAGATGGGTGTGACGTGGCGGAAGTTGAGGGTTGGGGATGACGTGGCACCCTAAAGGGTACACGTGAGCGGCGCATGACGAAGCGAGGCGTCTCAGGTGGGTGGGGGGTGACGTGGCTCTTGGTGGGGGGTGTGACGTGGCAAGTAGGGTGGGTTGTTGGCGGATGCAAAAGGGTGTGACGTGGCAGAATGTGAGGGTTGGGGCTGACGTGGCGGTTTGGACTGGTACACGGGAGCGGCGCGTGACGAGGCGACGCGTGTCAGGTGGGTGGGGGGTGACGTGGCATGGGGTGGGAGGGTGTGACGTGGCACGTGGGGCTGGTTGTTGGTGGACGTGGCGGATGCAGGAGGGTGTGACGTGGCACGTGGGGCTGGTTGGTGGACGTGGCGGACAAGGAGGGTGTGACGTGGCGGAACGTGAGGGTTGGGGATGACGTGGCGGATGCAGGTGGGTGTGACGTGGCGGAAGGTGAGGGTTGTGGATGACGCGGCGGTTAGAAATGGTACACGTGACCACTGCGCATGACGAAGCGAGGCGTGTCAGGTGGGTGGGGGGTGACGTGGCTTGTGGTAGGGGGGTGTGACGTGGCAAGTGGGCTGGGTTGTTGGTGGACGTGTCGGATGGCGCAGGGTGTGACGTGGCAATTTCAAACAGTGTTGCTAGTCACCATCCCATGGTCACGCGGCCACCCTCATAACTGCTGGTTTCTCTCTTCCATGTCGTGTTGTATACCTTACACCCCTGCGCAGAACAAAGCCTACTTAGTGTGCTCTCAGCTCATGTTTCTGAACCCGCCGGAGAAAATACAGTACTACCCTGCACCGGAGGAAGTGTTCGAAGCGTTCTCTGCCCACTTGTCTGCAGAAGGGCTTGAGGCAATGAAGCTGCTGTGGTTGCACAATGACAAGTCAACCATGGGAGTCTTCAACCACCAGCTGTCCTCAATAAGGTCAACTATCAACTCCACCCTCAGGCCAGCAGCATACACCGGCATGGGCCTTGCCGATTACAGCCATCTCATGGATAGCCTGCCCACTGAGCTACACCCAACGACCTGGTTCGAGGACGATCAACTCCTAGCCGAGTACAGAGATGGTATGTGCAGTGCAACTCGAAAACACAATATGCCCTACCATATGCCCCTCGGCAGCTACATATCACCGTGCGATGTGGCTCACCCTGACTCTCATCCCCCCATTTGATTTCTCTACAAAACCCTTTCCAACCCATATCCTCCCTGCCAAAAAGCAGAACAGTGGGCCCTCAACTGGCACTTTGACAAGGCCACTGGGACACCGTTCAGCAACCCCTTGTTCGCTTATGCGTTCAAACTCTCCTTCAAGAGGGGCGGGGCGGTGTTCACCAAGTTCATGAGCCGCATGGTGGCATGGGGCCTGTTTTTGGTAAGGATGTAGATATGTGTTTGTACACCCATGCCTCATCCCCTTAACCCCTTGCCTGTATTTCAGCTAAAACCCTGGTCGATTAGGCCTTTGCAGTTACGTAGATAGTGACGACTGCATCACCGCTTTCAGTTGCCTCATTTCCCGTAACCTACCCTCCTCATAAACCATCCACCCAACCCTACACCACATTGCAGATCGAATGGCCCCTTCTGCACGATAAGCGTCGCAAGCGAATCAGTAGGCAGCCGGAGCAGAATAGGCCAGACTACCAGGAGTGGTGCGAAAAGGTCAAACAGATGATCCATTTTGCTGTCGTGGAGCGGAGGATCCCCCACGATCCGGCTATGGGTGCGTTCGTCTTTCCGAACAAGTTCCTTATCGACGACGGCAACCTTGGAGATGTCGTCCTTGCCCACCGAGCGCTTTTAAGGCCCGCAAGTGCGTAGGCTATTTGACCTGGTGCTAAGACTGCTTGTTGCTAGAATGCTGAATAATGGTTCTTGTAAACCGCAATAATAAATGCAATTTTGAAATCCTCAATATCCAAAATGAACAAAAACAGAATTTAGTTCTGAATAATTTGGTCACGAATTTGCAACAAAACGGATTGCGCCCGAATGTCATCCGGAAAAGCTCGCGTGCCAAATTGGAACTTGAACCAAGCCAAACCTTGTCGCAAGATGTGTCTCGGAGCTCCTATCAAATGACTCCAACCGTCGGTCCAAATTGGCACTAGAATTTTTTACGCGAAGAAAATCGAAATCAAAATTCGTCCAAACTTGGCATAGGGTTTTTGTGATGTAGGTGGAGTTGGAGAGAGAGGAGAGAGAGTTGCAACGGCTGAAGGAGCAGAAGCAGCAGCAGCAGGAGCAGCTGCAGCAGCCGTAGCTGGAGCCGCCGCAGCAGGAGGAGGCGCAGGAGCTAGAGCCGCTATAGCAGCAGCAGGAGCAGCAGCAGCCGCCGCAGCAGCAGAAGTAGCAGCAGCAGCAGCCGCCGCCGCAGCAGCAGCAACCGCCGCCGCCGCCGCAGCAGCAGCAGCAGCCACCGCCTCCTCCTCTTGTCTCCGCTCTTCGGGCCCTCGGTCGCTCCCCTCATGCTCGTCCCTCGTCCCCTGTTCCCTTCACTGAACTTCATACTGCCTTAATTCGTTCTAATCCGCCTCGTCCGTCTCCGTCTGCACTTCCGTCTCCTGAGTCGGCCCTCACTGCTTCGCTTTCTACTCCTGTCACTGACTACTACCGCATGTACCATCCTGTTCTCTCTCGTGTTCTCGCCTCTCTTGTTACCCACCCTCGTGCCTCTGTGTCCTCTGTCTCCGCTCTTACTGCTGCAGTCACTGAGTTTGCCTCTACTCGCCGCCTTGACTTCGCCACCAGTCTTGTGGCTGCTCCTCCTTCCAGTCCTCTGGTTGTCGGGGGTGTGTCTGCCCTTGGCTGTGACGCCCTAGAGGACAAGCAGTTTGAGCTAGAGTTTCTGGCAGCCGCTTC